AATTAGAGTTAAAATAACCGTTAAATCGTAATTTTTCATTTATAACCATCGAAAAGTTTTATCCCGTTACTTGATCTCTGAATGTTTTTTTTTTTTTTTTTTGATTTTTGGCGTACGCGATCTTGAAGTATATACAACCAAGTTTGACGGTTCGATCGTTGAAACTAGTTTCGTAGAATGCGTATCCCATCAAGTTCAATGGTGTGTGTCTGTATATATATATATATATATATATATATATATATATATATATATATTGTTTAAATAGCTTTAAATTTATTTATTTTGTATGTATAACACTTAAGAAATTGAATGGTATATATATTTATTAAGTAGCTTTAAATTTATTATTGTAGTTCGGATCGGGTTTTCGTTAGAAAAATATATTATTGTGTTTTATGTAAAAAAAAAAAAGAATTTGAAAGGAGAAAATCACATTTTCAGTCAATTTTATAATAATTTTTTTAAAAAAAATATATAATTTGTGCAATGTAGGTTCACCTTCGTCGCACAAAACTATTTTGCATGACGAATATTGTCGTCGTGCAAAGCTGCTTTGCTTGACGAAGGTGCACCTACGTCGTGCAAAGACATTTTGCACGACGAATGGACTCTTTCGTCGCAAAAAGTCAATGACTTTGTACTATAACATAAGATTTTGTGGTATCCACTTGTGTAAATATTTTAAATTGACGATCAAATTAGTTCATTGTATTCATATAGGATCAAGCAGTGTAGCTGTAAAAAATCGTTAAAATCGGGTTAAAATAACCGTTAAATCATGAATTTTCATTTATAACCGTCAAAAGGCTTTGTCTTGTTACTTGATCTCTGAATGTTTGTTTTTTACGATTTTTGACGTATCTCGAAGCATATGCAAACATGTTTGACGGTTGGATCGTTGAAACTAGTTTCGTAGAATATGTATCCCATCAAAACAATAGATTCACTAACACTTAAGGGTTTATTTATACTTTCATTAAGTATAACATAAGATTTTGTGCTATCTACTTGTGTAAATATTTTAAATTAAAGATCAAGTTCATTCATTGTATTCATATAGTGTCACAGCCCGTCCCGGAATTTCAATTTCGAGGATGTGAATTTACGTATTTATCCCTAAGATGTACTAAGGCATGTGATTTATAATTTGGTTGAATATCAAAATTTTCCTAAGTTGTTGGAGAGAAAAATTAATATTTGGATTGGGATTGTGTGGTTAAGGAGTTTTTGGGTGGACCACACATACCTAAGCCTACCCTCTCTCTTCTCTCGTGGACTCTCTCTCTCTCTCCTCTCGATTTTTCTGCTTCACGTGCACTGTGCACGTACGGACAAGCTCGGAACCTCCCATTTCTTCACGGATTGAAGGTTCTAAGGTAAGATTTGAACTCCTAGTAAGCTTGTGAGTTCGTATATGTGATTTTTGGAACTTAAAACCCTCAGAATCGTCGTGAAACCCTAACCCCGAAAATGTGCACTGTTCATGAACACGTAAAATCTTGCATTTCAGGGAATTTCAGGCTCACAGTGAGCTTAAGGAGATCCTCACGAGCTTCGGGGTACTTCGTTGGTAGAATTTGGACGTCGGAGGACTGAGAACAAAGCTTTTCAAATTTGGCCGGATTATCGAGCTTCCTCAGGTAAAATCTAGTGGATTTTAGACTTTGAAACTAGTCTATCGTGATTCTACATGTTGAGGGCTTCAAATTGATATAAAATACGAAGAAAACGGTTGAGAAACGACGGAGAACAAGGAGATTGAAAAATCTCCATTTTTCTGGCCACCGGAAAACTCAGTCCAGTGAACTCGAGGAAGAAGACTCGTGTGGGGGCGTGTGAACCCGTGCTTGTCCAGGCGCATGGGGGCGCGTGCCGCTTCAAAAAAAAAATTAAAAATTTCTCGACGTCCGTGACGTCGAGTAGGTCGATGTGGTATATTCATATACCCAAATTGAGCACCGTATGAGAAGTTATTTCAAATTGTTGGTTATGTGCATGAAATTAACATTTTTATAGTTGTTTCGCATATAGGTGACACCTATCCCGAGGACGAGCGCATCCAGGGACGTCACGGGGGTTACGACCCATTGACTTACCAGTGAGTGGGCAGTTTTGTTTTCAGTATATACCTATATACTATTAATTTTCCCAGAAATTGAATTTATATGAAAGTATGTTTTCAATTGCCATGCATACATATTATGAATTATATGAATTGATATGAATGCATATATATATATATATATATATATATATATGAATTGGTGCTGTGGACGCACAGGTGAGTATCAGGTGAGTTTTATGTTACTCATGTGAATCATTGATGATGTGAATTGTGTTGAGAGCTCATAACCTGCACCCCTGGTGTTAGTGCTTATATTATTCACCGCACCGCACGCTCACCTTGGATCCAAGTAGGTGCATGTCGTATAGACCATGAGAGGGTTCCGACATGCTAGTCGTACAGACCACTAGAGGTGGTTCCGACTAGTAGGTGACCTTAGATTACGTGCGCATATGATTGATGAGAGAAGCACTAGAGCGTACCATTACACCATTCTTGTCGTACATACTACTTCAGGTAGTTCCGACTTATGTGCAGAGTAGTGCCGTACAGGTCACCGTTGTGACTCCGGCTGGGTTGGATATTGAGTTATGGAATTAACCGTATAGGACCAATTGCAGGGTCTCCGGTTGATTCATTATGTCACCTGTTATTTTGAGGCATCTATGTTTTATTATTGACATTTATGGCATGGCATATTCCTAGATTGTGATAGATGGGTGACTTGTGACGTATAAGGTTTTATATGCTATTATGTTATTTTCTGGGAAGGTATACGGGTTTTACAGTGAAGGGTTAGAAATGTTTTTAATGAAATGTTTTGGAAAACTTTGGTTTTACTGACCCACTCAATTTTGTTTTTGCGCCCCTCCAGGTTCTAGTTAGCAGTTGGTGGCTCACGAGGTTTTCTTCGGCGTTCTGACAGACTTCCTGCATGTAAGACTCACCTGCGGGTGTTGTAATTTAATTATAGTCCTACGTGACTGCACCTAGTTTCTTTTATGCTCTGAAATTGTGTACTGCACACTTACACTCACTCTAGCATGCTAGTTGGATATTACTACTAGTAGTTGGTTTTTATTCATTCGTATTTCTCATATCCCTTGCTTCCGCACCGTATTTTTGGTTACGTCACACTCACGTGACGGCCAGCACGCCTTGATTCTAGGATCGGGGTGTGTCATATAGGGTCAAGGAGTGTAGCTGTAAAAAATCATCAAGTTAAAATAATCATTAAATCGGGATTTTTCATTTCTAAACGTCGAAAAGTTTTGTCCTGTTACTTGATCTTTGAATGTTTGCTTTTTGCGATTTTTGGCGTATGCGATCTCGAAGCATATACAAATAAGTTTGACGGTTGGATCGTTGAAATTAGTTTCGTAGAATGCGTATCCCATGAAAACAATAGATTCACTAACATTTAAGAGTTTATTTATACTTTCATAAAGTATAACCAAGGAAGAAAATATCGGTAATATCGGAAATATCAGTAGTCCGAAAACACGGAAATATCGATGGAAATATCGGGATAATATCGATATCGATAAAAATTACATGGAAACCACGGAAATTGTAAGAAAAACTTGGAAATTTTTATTGAAACTTTGCATGATGTTTATTTAGTCAATTATCTATTAGTTTATCACAAAAAATTGGAAGGAAATGCATTGCATGATGGATTTAACATTATCAAGTTGATTATATAGCGAGCTGACAAACATTGTGAGTGTAGAAAATATGTAGTAATTAATGAAAGAAGTTTAAACACACCAATTGAGGCTTATTGCGGCAAGTTTTTTAGATATGACCTTGCATCAAGTCGTCTTTTGTGTTAATTTGTAATCTTAACTGGTTTTGTTGTGTTGTGTCAATTAGTTAAATTAAGCGGTACATCCAATTGGGGCTTATAAACATTTTAATTCTCCTTAAAAATCTAAGGGCATTTAATCAGGATTTTAAGTGATTCTTTAAAGGTTAAAGGGTATTCGATCATGATTTTTAAGAAATTCATACATTCCAAATGTATTCATTTAGAAATTGATTCGAAGAGATTTTTAAAAAGTTGGGAAACTCGAAAAAATTAGAAATATTTCACATAATATTTTAAACATTCTCAAATCGCTCCCTGAAAATTTGAGGGAATTCACTTAAAATTTTACATAAAAGTTTTAAAAATTATTAAACTTCATCAAAATTCATAAATTTTTAAATCTATTATAATCCTTTAAAATCTGAATGGAGTAAAAAATTCAATCTAAACCTAATATGAAACAATCACTAAATTACATAGAATTTCTAAACCAAATCTAACAAGGATCAATTACAATTCTAATACGATGTTGTAATTACTTGGAGTTTTTTAGGGCAATATGTAACACCCACCCCCATTTATAAAGATATATTTGTGTAATTATCCCCTAAACATTTTAATATATCAAATTGGTCCTCTTTGACTACCCAATCAGGATCCAAAACATTGGATCCCTTTCTTTCTGAAGTGGCCACGTGGCACCCCCCCTCCACTCTTCTCTTTTCTCTCTCTGTTCCCCCGTGACTCCCTTCTTCTTTTCTTCTTCTTTCTGTTTTCTATTCTTTTTCTTCTGTCTCCCTCTCGGCTCTCTCTCTCATATCTCCCTCATCTCTCTTTTCTGCACCGCAGCACGCACGCACCCATCTTCCTGCGCGAGGAACATCACCATCACCCTTCTCCCTCCTTCCTCATTCCCACAACTTTTAATTATTTTTCGCTGTCTCTCTCTCTCTCCTCCCTGCTCGTCACTCTCTTCAGATCCCAGTCTCTCTGCAAATCCCAAATTCCCGGTCGCCCCTCTCTCTCTCTCTAAAATCCATTCCGTCAGGGATCAAAATCCCATCTTTTTCATTCACATACAAAACCCACACACATATTTATAGATCTGATGCTCCTCCTTCCATGGCTTCCACCGGGAATCAAAATCCGCCGCCGCAGCAGCAACCGCCGCCCTCGGCCGCTGCTGCGTCGTTTCTCGCCGCTTCCACTTCCTCGTCCCCCAAGTCGAAAACGTTGTCGTCCGTGTCGACTGCTCCGCCTCCTCGTCTTCCTCCTCCGACAAGTCTCGGACCCCCTAGATCGGAGTCTAGCGTCCTGTTTTACAGTCGGCCGGAGCTGTAGAAGCTCCGGCGTTCTTCTCCGAGTAACAGTTCAAAAAATATCGGCGATATTTCCAAAATATCGCGATATTATCGATATTATCGATAATATCGCGACATTTTTCCGAAACCCCCTTGGATACCACTTAAAATATCGGTTGGGGGAAAAACCGATAATATCGGCGATATATCGCCGATATTATCGATATTTTCTTCATTGAGTATAACATAAGGTTTTGTGGTATCCACTAGTGTAAATATTTTAAATTAAAGATCGAGTTCATTCATTGTATTCATATAGGGTCAAGGAGTGTAGCTATAAAAAATCATCAAATTCAAAGTTAAAATAACCTTTCAACCGTGATTTTTCATTTATAATTGTCGAAAATGATCTATGAATGTTTATTTTTTGTGATTTTTAGTAAATGCAATCTCGAAGGATATACAAACAAGTTTGACGGTTCGATCGTTGAAACTAGTTTTGTAGAATGCGTATCCTATCAAGTTCAATGGTGTATATATATATATATTTATTAAGTGGATTTAAATTTATTTATTTTGTACGTATAACACTTAAGAAATTGAATAGTATATATATTTATTAAGTAGTTTTAAATTTATTATTGTAGTTCGGATCGGGTTTTTGTTAGAAAGATATATTATTGTGTTTTATGTTAAAAAATTGAATTTAAAAAGAGTAAAATCACATTTTCAATAAATTTTATATTAATTTAAAAAAAAAAATATATATATAATTTGCGTGACGTCACAATGGGTGGTTGTGCAAACAAACTTTACGCGACATATCAACCAATTCGTCGAGCAAAGACGTCGTAATTTATACCTACGTCTCGCAATATTTGCTAAAATTGTGGCGGTTTAATTAGAAAAAAATGGGCGATTTTTCAAAATTTTTCCGATTGGAAAAAATGGGCGCTTTTTGTTTTGTATAACCCTAGGCTAGGTGTCCTCATTCTTCCCTTCAAGGACCACTCCAGTTCAAATCCTCCCTTAGACCTCTCTTCTCCTTGCGCCTCCTTCACTCACAGTCAGTCACCACCACTCACCACTCCACTCTCGCAACCCCACAGCCGCAGCCTCGCAGCCTTTGGAGCCCCAACTGTAGTCTGCAGCACACCTCAACGGCTCAACGCTTTCGCCCTCAAGCACTCGCTCGCTTCACCGTCGACAGCCGTCACGGCTCACAGTGATTCCGAGGTAAATTATTTAATTTCGCATCTTAATTTCTCATCACAGCAAGCCCACCTTAATTTCTCTGTTTGTATTGGAAAGCTCTGTTTGCATTTTAATGGGAATTACGATTAAAATAGAAAAATTGATGAATACAGGCACGTATATAATTAAGAGAAAGATGATGAATACAGCCACAACTCTGTTTGCATTGGGTTTTCGATTAAAATATTTTTATACAGACTAGTTTGAGTTGAATAAATCAATGGGTGCTGGAAGAAGTTGTCCTCGATCAGTTCAGTTGGTCAACACAACACAACATTCCAGTTGCTTAATTCATGTTAATTGTATTAGTTTCATTGAGCTTCTGTGTATAGTATAGCTGCCTTGCCTTGATTATATTTATTGTTTCAGCTATTTCAAGTAAACCATGTGTTTGGTGTTGATAAACCAAAACTACTTTTGAATTAGTATGCAATACTGCTTTATATATATGTGAACAAATGCAAGAAAGGATATGATATTACTTTGCCTGCTAATTGATTAGTTTCAAATGCAAGAAAGAATTAGTTTCTAATGTTATATTTTTATGGTTTAAAAATTGTATAGATATCACAGTTGATCACTCATCGTCGGGGTGTGATCAATGCGTCTCTAGCATTTTCAGCACCTACTGTTTCAGCCATGAGTGCTCCATTGATTGGGGAGCCTACACCCCTTACTAAGGCTACTCCTGAGGCATCCCAAGTGCTTGCATCATTGACGTCATCAGTGTCGGTTTAGTATCTCAGTGCTGCCCAGGAAGCAGCCGGGGATGCTCGGGAAGCCTAGATTGCAGCCTAGTTTTCGGCCTACGACGAGAAGATGAGCATGATCTTACGAGCCTTACAGATGTTCGGCCTCCAAATCCCGATGCCAGCACTTGATCTTGCTCCACCTTCGACCTCCCAGCCACTTTGCCCAACCTATACCTAGTAGCCTGATGTATCAAACCTAGAAGACCACTTGTTGTAGTTTTTTCTTTTTTGTTCGGACATCTTGTATGTACATTTTCATATATTTTATAATTAAATACCTTTTCTTGGTTTATTAATTATTGTTTAGAATTTAATTACAATATTTATTAAAAATTAAATAAAAATATTTTTGCCAAAAAAAAAAAATTTAAAAAAACAAAGGTTTGCATGACGAAGAAGTAACATGCGTCGCGCAAAGTGTAGGACTTGCGTCACGCAAAATTGCTTTGCACGATGCAGGTTCCTACGTCGTGCAAAGACACTTTGCGCAACACATGTTACTTCTTCGTCGCATAAACCCTGTTGTCACTGCCTTGACGCGACAGTTAGTGCGCGACGAAGGTTTCGTTGGACTAATTTTTGCACGATATTTTTTGACTTTGTGCGACGAAGGACCTGCGTCTCGCAAACCGTTTTTTGTACTAGTGAACAATGAATATTTATTTTACAAAGTATTATATTTTTATATATTATATATAATTGTGTATAATATATAGCCTCAGGCCTCAAGATTTTCGCCTAAGCGTGACTATCCATGAGACGTCTTGCTCATGCCTCCTTTTTTAAAACATTGGTGATATAAATACTAGTAAAATCAAAACTCGAATGAGACGCTATGCCATCCAGCTATAACATTATTGTTTTTAAGAATAAAGTCAAAGACGGCCCAATTTATTGGCCATAGCATAGCACAGCAAGGGTTTAAACATTTAAATTAAGAATTCAGAGGCAATGCATTATGCATTACACATGGTTAAAGATCAATAATTAAGGGTTTATTATTATTATTTTTTAATTTTTAATTTTTTTTCTTTTGAATTCCATGCGCCGCACTTTCTCCATATTTGAAGGTCCTGACGCTTTGACACTTGATTGGGCCAAGGGTCAAATTCTCATGCAAAGGAAGTGTTTTCTAAGGTGCGGATCGAGCTTTGCGAATTGCATGCAGACCGAATGTAGGCTATTGGATGAAATCTAAACGGTTGAAAAATAGTACCCAGCATAAATTTAATTTTTTTGGAATTTAAACTGTCACCCCCCTCCTCCTCCTCGGGAGACATCAACAGTTATCAATGGCAAAACCAGGAATTGTTGGGAAGAGGGGCGAAATTTAAAAAGGTAAGGTTCTATAAAATATAGACAACCAAATCCTTTTAGATAGTAAACAATTGCAAAAACATCTCTCTTAATGTGAACAACTATGCTAACACTAAACCGTTGATCTCTCATTTTGTTACGCAGTGATGTTTTCACAATATTCATAGCAAAAAACCCTCTCGCTACTTAAGCGGTTGCAACTGGTAACTCGATGTTTATCTCATTAAAGCAACCATTCAATTCTTTTAGTTGCATACCAAGGACTTGAAAATAGAGATCCACATGATAGTAATGTAAGTTTGTGAGTCTTGGAGCTTTGGGTTTTGATTTTCCGACTGTGAAATGCAAATACTCTATGTTAGGAACATTAATATCATTTTCCTCACAAAGTTTTTAGACATTATGAAACAAGTCCTCAAAGTGACATCAGAAATTCGTTAAAAGTAGTGATGACTAGAAAAAGATATTCAAATTTGAGTATGAATGTAAGGCTTCATTCACTCACTCATCCCCTTATTGTAGAAATTATCGTTTGTGATAAAAGAAAAATCAACATTAAGGTAGTTTTAAGTATTGAAAGTCTTAATATCACGTCCAAAACAATTAATTAGGGACCAATCAAAAGATCCAACCAAAAGAACGAGGGACCAAGACAAACCATTAAAAAAAACAAAGGGACCAAGTCAAACAGAAGAAAAGAAAGAAGAAAACAAAAAGAAAGAAAAAAATGGAGAAAAGCAACAAAAGAAAGAAGAAAACTAAAATGCAACGTTTCATTTATAAGGAATGGAGAAAACGACGTTGTTCGGTCCAATGTTTTTCTTTTAAAGCACACCTTTTCTTTTCTTTTCTTCTTCCTTGCACACGAGCTACCTCTTTTGCAACGGGCAGCCTACCGACGCAATGGCTTTTCATGTGGTTTTCCGACGACAGGATGGGCAGATTCTTCACTCTTTATATGGATTTTCGAAGACTGGAAAGGCAGCCACATCTCCTTGCGCTGTTGTGGCTTCGCCCTTGCAGGTTTTTCGACAAAAGCAGAAGGTCATGCCGTCGCTCATGGGCTACATTTCTGGCAAGGTGCTCCGCTTATTCTTCCTCATGGGAATTTCATCCATGCCTCTTCAACGTCTTTCTTCCCCACCAAAGAATAGAATAGCTTTATCACCATAGAATAGCTTCACCTACAACAGTTACCATCATAAATTTTCCTTCTCTCACAATACTCTTCATCTCCTAAAACCATTGAAGCAAACTTGATCCATATGCAGTGCAATGCGTTTTCCTTGGCTTTAGTCCCAATAAAAAGGTTGTCGGTGTTATCATTCATCTATTCAACATATATATGTCACCATGGATGTCACCTTCTCCAAAGATGAGTTATTTTTCCTTCCCAGCCAAGCTCCTTAGACAAACTCCAACCCTTGGAGTAAGTCCTAAATTTTCCCTTATGTCCCCCCCCCCCAATTTCTCTCCAACATGTGTCCTAAAATTGAGTTTTAACACAGTTAAGTGTTAAAATCTATAAAAAAAAATAAATAAAAAAAACTCAAATTCCCCCCAAGATTTAGCCCAAAAAACTTGGTAGAGCCTAAGAATGTGGCCCACCCACATGGGGTTGTCTGCCTGATGTCTGATGGGTAACTGAGCCCAACGGCTCTTTTATGATCTAGCGGCCACAATCAGTTGGGCCGTTGGTTCATCCAACGGTCCACATTCAAACTATTTTAGTTTTATATTTATATATTTATTGAATCTAACGGTTGAGATCGAATATAATCAAATCTAACGATATAAAAAAGATTTAACTACCTAAATTTAAATCCAACGACTAAAAAAAAAAAAAATTTAACTCAAAATTCACCCAAAAACTGACACACCTCGACCGGAGTCGAGGCATGCTGGCCGTCACGTGAGGGTGAAGCAGCCAAGTGCGCAACATAAGTGATAATACTAAGAAAATATGAATAAATAAAAACCAAAACCAAACTTATTTAACTAGAGATAAAATATAAGTGTGCGAAAGTGATCAAGTATATGATACACACACATCAGAGCATAGGTAACACGAAAGTGCAGTCGAACTAACTAAACACTAATTATACAAACCGGGAGAGGATCCCTACAATATTTAATGGAACGTCAGAACCGCCGAGTAGTCCTCGTGAGCCACCAAAGATAAACAGCTACCTAGAACCTGGAGGGGCGCAAAACAGAAGGGTAAGTGGGAAAAAACAAAGTGTTTGAAAACGTATTTATCTTTATGAACATAATAACCCCTCTACATAAAACCCATATAGTTTCCAGAAAATACTACTATGTAGGTATGAAAACCAATGCACAAGACTAGCGAAAACTGAGATATGCCATGTCATAATATTTCAACACTAAAAGATGTAAACCAAATGTGCAATTAATATAAAATAGTATACCAGTTGGAGTCACCTTGCGCGACCTGTACGACTGAATCTATAGCTTATCAATCTAGGCTAGCACAAGAGTCGGAGTCACCTAATGTGACATTTACGACAGGCTGGGTATAAATATGTATGCTCAAGTGCTACGATCACGTGAAGGCTGTGCGATAAATTGTGGGTCACTTACGAGTCGGAATCACCTATTGTGGTCTGTACGACAGACTGGCACCAGACTTGGATCCAAGGTGAGTGTGCGGGTGCAGAAGGTGAACAATCACGTGAAGGCTGGCCCTAGCCTCGGGCGGGAGCATAAATACCGGGGTGCAGCCATGATGAGTTCTAAATAAATGTATGTATACCAATGCAATACAACCTATTCAATCATATGTTCCTCACTAGAAGCTTACTCGAGTCTCCTCAACATCACACAATACAATTCACAAGTGTAATAAGCAAAGCATAATTCCATATAAAAACATTTCTGGAAACTGTGTATGTGTGTGTGTATATATATATAAATAAAACAAATGCCTACTCACTAATAAGTAGCAAGATCGTAGCCCCTAGCTTCGCTTGTCCACGCTTGTCCTTGGGGTACGTCTCACCTATATGCGATTCAACTATTTTTACGTCAATTAATTAGCACATATACGAAATTTAGAAATAACTCCTCATAGTTTGCTTAAATGTAAGGTTTGAATATACGAAAGTGATCTACTCGATGATACGAACCCACACAATTTTTAGAAAAAAATTTGGACACCGGACGCGCCCTCATGCGTTGGCCATGCACTGGCACATGTACGGCACATTAACGGAAACCCTAACAGCGTTAGGAATATTTCATCAAAATAGGCGGAACATTCCGTTAAATGGTAACGGCGTTACCTAACACCTTTGGAATATTTCGTTAAAGTTAACGGAATATACCTTCTTCTCCGGTCACCCGTCGGTCTCTGCCGTCCGCAATCGCTGTACACGGCGGTAGGCCGCCCCAACTCGCCGGAAAAATCAACTATTTCTAAAAATTCTCAAATTTCATTGAAATGAAGATCTCAACGAGTAGAGCAAGTTTTATACATGTGGCCAAGTCCAATTTGGCCGGAAAAAGCTTAAAATCGCCACAAACCTGCCGGAACCCTAGAATTTGAGTGTTCTTGATTTGTCCTCAAATCAAATCCGACGCTCCAACCAATGATTGGGCATTTTTCTTGAGCTCAGGGGATGGCTATTGGTGGTGACAATTGAAAGAAACCATTGCAGGAATGGCGGATTTGCCGTCGTGCACCCTCAGAGCCGACGTGGGTGTTCTTATGAAACTAGGGTAAAAAAACCCGTCAATCATGGGTGGAAATTGAAGAAGAAGGGCCAGTGAGAAGTTTCCAGGTGGTTAATGGCTCTAATTTGGTGGAAAATTGACGAAATCCATCGGAATTGCTGCAGAACGCGTCGGGTCGACGGGGATGAACCGGGTCAAGGGTGATCTGGTGCTCCCTCACTCTAACCTTTTTCTTCCTTTCTTCTCTTTCCCATTGGTCACTCACCCTCTCCCCTTTCT